TATCAGTGGCTGTTTGATTTGCATCGTTATGTATTTATGAAACGAAAACGATTTTTATCGATATCTATTCTGAACAATTTGCACTTTCTCCTACTCCGTGGGAATGAAGATCTTCATTTTCGCCATTTTTTGCGATAAAATCGCGGCAAGAATTTTCTGATTAAAGACGCACAAAGTTTGCGGAATTCGTCTGCTAAAATTTATCAGACACGAGTATCTCGATGGAAGCTAGTTACGCCATAACGATCGTTTCGGATCGTTCTTCGGCTAAGACGTTTAATTAGCGAGAAGATTACATTCCTAGGTAGAAAATATTCCGTTCACGGCTATCACGTTTGCGTACTCGTCCCTAATTCACGCTAGGTCTTTGCGTGCGATTGCTTGATTCGCCTTCGGTTTGAAGAGATAATCGGGGCAATTACTTCGTGGCGGCAGAAGATGGTTCGTGTCCAGAGTGTCGTTGGCTCGGCACTGGTTTGCCATGAATGTAAAACACCTGCACGGTCACGCAAAAAAAAAAAAGAAAATCGCCTTTCCTCGTGAAAGCGATAATGCTTTTAGCCTAACTTGTCGCTGCTTGTTCGCTGTTGCCTTGACGCATCGCATAAAATACTTGACGAATGGGACACGTTCACGAAGTTCTCTTTGATAGTCGAACTGTAGGTACATTTCATACTCTCTTTATTTAGGGCAGTGGAACTGGTTCCTGCGTGGTGACTACTTGCCGTGCCTTTCGTTCTTTTCTTTCGGGCGTAAATAATTTTATCTTCTATTTTGCTTATTTTTTAATACAAAAGTTTAATACGCTGTTTTCAATGAATATAAAGTTAATAATTATGCCTGAAAAACAAACCAAAGGCACAGCAATTGATCGTACCCACGGTATAACCGGCTCCTCTACTCTATGTTATCGCTAATAAAAGACGGCGAAGTTTACTGTGCTGTTCGAGGAACAAACGAAATCACTAAATTTATTTGGAACGGAATCGTTAAGTGGCCCATTCGCGTGTGCATATAATTATACTCGGTCTCAATTAACTGTATCCACTGACTCTACTATCTGCAATATATGTCAATCAATTTCAGATACCGAGAAATCTCGCTTGAATAATTCGGCAAACTTGAAGCTAATGAGTGAAGCTAATAGGAATATAGTTGACCGGCGTTCTCGTAGCTTAGAAATTTATTCGGTTCGTTACACGGCGTACTCCGTACGTTTCGTGTGTGCACGATAACGGGAAAGAATGCGTGAAATTAACACTGTACCATGTTCCGTACTTCGTAAACCTGCACGGCGCGACGGCGGCTCTTTCTTCTTCTCCTTTCTCTCCCACGAAACCGTAGGATGAAGCAACAGACGAACGTTTCACGGTTCGTTTTATTACTTCATAAAATTCCGAAGTGCAGCGGGATAGCTCCCAGAGAAATTAGAGACGCGTGTAAAGGATCCCGGTTTCTTTTCTTTTTTTTTTTCTATTCGGGAAACGTTTCTGTTACATAGAAATCACTGTTCCGTCCACGCGGATACGCGCGAACGATAACGAAAGAAATTCCGAAAGTTAACGTGTTAATTAACGTTTCATAGTACCGCGTAAACACCGATTTTCTTTCCTAGATCCTCCAGCACGCGCGAACCCGGAGAAATGCCCGACCGTTCCACGCTCCATTTCACGTCGAACGATTTAATGCAAACAGCGCATACGGCGTCGTGTAAGACTTCGTTTCTCAGCGACGAAAGACTCCTTTCTGCTGCGTCAATTTTTTCGATTGCAAATATTATTGGAAAGGATATAAGTATTTGCAGAATTTTCGTAGTTCGCATTTAATGTAGACAATTTCGGTTGTGCACGAAAATTGGCAGTCTAATTTATTACTAACCGCATTGTGTGCACACACTTTTAAAATTCATGTCTGTCACCAGATGTTGTAACATCTTTAATTTCCACACGATCGCTGTCCAATTTGCCGTTCAAAATATGAAAGTGTGAATGAAATTCGGAGCATCTGTTTCACTCTTGCAAAGTGCAGCAATGCGAGTGCGAACCGAAGAAAAATGCGATGCAACTTTGCGACCGATCCAATGAAATAAAAATGGATCGGCACCACGGAGGATGACTTTAACGCATCCCTCTAAAGTAATCTCAAAAATCAGATAGCCTGGACAAGCTGAACAATTTCATAAACTTAACCTTTTAGGTACGGCTGAATTCTGCGCGAGGCTATTTCTCTCGACGGCAGAGTCTGATATGTACTGTACAGAGTCTGATACTGTATATTCTGTCCGTATATACAGGATGTCCCAAAAATGTCTCGCAATCCGAAAGTGGCGGGTTCCTCAGGCCATTTGAAGCAACTTTTTCCTTTACAAAAATGTTCTCCGAGGCACCGTTAACGAGTTATTAACGAAAAACGGTGACCAATGAGAGGCGAGCTCGGCTGGCGCGAGGCGATCGAGCCAATGAGCGGAACTGGGCTTCGCGCGCTGGTTGGCTGGGCCGCCTCGCGTCAGACGTACTCGATTCTTATTGGTCACTGTTTTTCGTTAATAACTCGTTAACTGTGCCTCGGAGAACATTTTCGCAAAGGAAAAAGTTGCTTCAAATGATCCGAGGAACCCGCCATTTCCGGATTGCGAGACATTTTTGGGACACCCTGTAGACTGTTGTAAATCGATGCGAAGACAAAAGAAGTGTGAAACGATGCATATGAAGACGATTATTTGGTTCAAACGATGAGCGAGTGAGCTACTAGAGCGAGCCACTATAGTGGCGCGTCGTGCCTAAAAGGTTAA